CTCAAATAAAAAAGAGCTTTTTGGGCGATTGTCAAAAATCTGAATCCTTTCAGATTTTTTTTCCTTAAAACTATTTCAGACGTTAAAATCTGCATTCCAGGATCAAATTGCAATTCTTTGCAAAAATCTAACTCGAAATGAATTGTACAGTTTTGTAGATCTTGTGAAAGAGAGTCCAGAAAAAATTTTTCTGTCAAAAGTTAAACGAGAAAATTTAATTTCTGGAGTGGGATTGAACCCTCGACCGAGTAACTCCTTGCGAAACGCTGAGACCGCTGAGCTATCCTTTTCTCTTTCGCCACTGATATTTTATTCTTCTTGTTGTGGAAATGATATGGCCTCTTTTGTAACCTTGTATTTGCTATAAGCTATTTCTATAGCATATCCTTCATTTTTTAATTTGCTTACAATTTGTGTTATTTCACAAGGATAATTCTTTATGCTGGTTTTGGACACTTCAGCGAACATATGTCAAAAATACGAATTGCTTTTGTATACATAACAAGTTCCGAAAAAGCGTCTTTCTTAAGACAGGTAGCCATTGAGAGCAGTGAACTATTTCATTCAGACCAACTATTTCATTCGAATGTCGCTGATGACCTTTAGCTACAGATTTTTGTGGAACAGTAGTATGAAAAATATGTTTAATTTGTTTCGCATTCCCCCTTTTTTCGTTTGATATGTTTTTACCTTCGTTGACGTAATGATTATTAAGTGCATCTGTAATTTTAACAGATTTGATGCATCGCATAATCCTTTCTTATGTATTCTGGTTGTAGAAACTTCAACATTTACATCGTAAAAAAAATTGATTTTTATATCTTATTTTATTTTATTTATTTATTTTTTAAAATTTTTTACGAGTTAAATGCTTAATTTGTCTGTAATAATGCTCTTGAAATAATAATGTAGCGGGTTCGTTATTTATTAAAAAATTCATAACTTCGTGCTAGAAAATGTCAATTATAAATACAATGGGTATAAAAGCAGACTTAATACTATAAACTCGAAGTATTAGTCATTATTTCTGCAGATAATTTGCTGCACAGCTCAGTTATCAGTTAAGTCATTTTTCCGTTCATTCCGTAATTCAAAATTGTTCCGTTTCCGTAATTCAAAATTGTTGGGAGCCGTTATGATGTATCAGGCCTTTCCTGCGCCAGAAAACTCGCTATGTTGTATTTTACGAAGTCTGGCCCAACGACAGTTTTAGCCTCATTTCAGGAGACTGGCTGTCCAATTTCCGATTCCGAAGGCTTTGTATTGTCATGGACGACGGGGGATCCTATCCCATAAGTCTTTTCGTGAGCCCGAAATGGTCTTTTTGGAACGGATGTTTGGATGTGGCTGTGACGTCACTCGAAACACACTACACTGTATGTCATCTTGTCCAATTTCCTGTAATCGTCGGACGGGGGGAGAGGAACAAATCCTTTCCCTCTACCCACAGTTCCATCCTATACAGCTGTTGTAGTTGAACAACCTCGTCTGCCCTGGAGTGTCTGTGTTTTAATGTAAAGCTAGTATTTATATTTTTTATATTTTTTAGAATTCTTTGTTTGCTCATTCGTTAGTCATAAAAAGGTCTATTTTTCTTCAGAAAGCTGGAGTAGAGTTTATGAAAAAGAAAGAACAAATGCTTTTTATATGACTCTTTCTTTATTATACAAACTGATCCACTGTTCGTAGAGTAATTTTTTGTTTTGTTTTGTTTTTACGGTGGAGAAAATAGGAAAAATCAACTGTACTGTGGTCGAGATCGGAATCACGGATCTTCCTATGCTAGCGGGGCGCGTTATCAGTTACACAATGATAGCACGCTGCGGGGAAGGTGAAAATTCCGTATTTTCCCTCCCACTTAAAAGACGAATAGGAAAAGAAGAATGACCGAACGACTCAGTCGACCGAAACCAGATAATGATGAATTATTGTCCACCACATTTTAATTTGAGACACTATAGAGACATTTTTTAAAAATATTTTATGGAGGCGGAAGAAATCAACTTCGTCCTCACCGGGATCCAAACCGCCTGTCTTTCGATCCTAGTCGGACATGCTACCGGTTACACAATAAAAGCGCGCACTGGAGAATACGTAAATCATTATTTATTTATATTTCTAAGCCAAGTATACTTCATATTCTTCTCCTTGTCGTATTACACAAGCCAGTCGATAAAAATGCCTTTCACTATCAACTAACTTTAAAACCATGAAACGCGATTCAGTTTTCAATCCTGTCGTAATTCTGAATCGCTATTGATGTTTTAATATGCTCCCTGTACATTAATATTAATATGTGTTCTTCGCAGGAAGGGAGAAGAAAATTACTTTCAGAAGATAAATAATATATTGAAAAACTCCGTGCGGGGGGGGGAGAGATCAGTAATTGACAAGAAAGAAAAAAATGGCTTAAAATTCACACAATATTTTTGTAAAAGCTAGCCGAGCAAGCAACTGCCCGATTAACGTAATCTTTATAAAAAGGGAAAAAATTATGTAATAATTTTAATGAGCCCAGCAAATGTAATTTCAGGATCCCCAACAAATTAATCCTACATAAGGATTAACTCAAAATTAACTGTTTCGTCAAAGGGCAGCAAACCCATATATTAGCAGTAGCTAATCGCTTTTCTTTTGAAAATGGAAGTTGCTTGAAAGAAGTCAAAATTTAAAGGCAAAAAACGTAGTTCAAAGAAGGTCGTTGATAAGACTAAGCTTTCTAAATTCCGTTCGGATAAGTGTATCTCCGTTGGACGGCATGCAGAGAGGGGCAGTATCAAGCAAAAGATTATTGTAAACTTGTGTTTGATACTGATTGCTCAACGGCAAGTAAGTAGCTTAATTTCATAGTAGCACCGTAGCGTGATTTTCAGTAGCTAAATTTGGTTATTATTGTATCACACGAGTTGTTCTGAGAGAGTGCCTTGTGGCTGCTACTGAAATTCTAACATAATCATAATAATATAATAAATAATAATAATTCATAAATAAATAAAGTTCTATAATAAATTATCTTCTCATGGTTGCTTCGTCATACATAGCGATAATTCGCTTCTATTATGATTATTCGAGTAATTAACTTTACTACATAAAGTGAAATTATATGATAGAGAAGAGACGTGCGTGGTTGCAGTTATATGTCGCTAATTAAATGAAGCCCTACTATAGAGATAGAGAAGAAACATGCATAGTTGCAGTTATATTTCGCTATTACCAAGTGTGAAAATATTAATCCTAATTTCATACATTAAGAAGTCGCACAGAAATGACTTATAGTCATTCTTCTTTTATTGCTTTGGAAGAAGACGAAGAGTCGGTTTTATAGCTTATGAAAATATAAAGTTGCTCTACTTGAGAGTTCCTTCTATAAAAACGTAAAATTATTTAAAACGTAGTGAATGGTTAGGGAGCAGAAATGATCAGTTTTGAAAATATTTCCAGAAATGGATAAATTATATCACAGTTCAGAATATACATCATTTGGAAGATAAGTTTCCGATCTGTCCGATGGTACCGAGACTAGTTTTAAGGGAGAATATGTGCTTGCGGGGAAGTCGCAAGTTTGCGGGATTCCAAGTTTCGCAAGTCGAAACTTGCGGGGATTCCCAAGTTTCGCTTGCGGGGAAGTCGTTTGAATAAAACAAAATAAACTAGACCAGATTAAAAAAAGAAAATCTCATCTAAATTTGCGGACTCGCCCTAGTTCATAACAATGGGTGAAAACCGAGATAGATTCTTTGGTATATATAAAGTTATAATTAACAATCATCCGTTCCGTTTGTCACGGCGCACTTAAATGTTAAATTCAGCTGGAGCGGAAGGTATTGATTACCACTCAGTGATATCAGACAGCGATATCTTGTGGCCAGTACTGTTGATATCAGATTAGGGATTCCCAAGTTTTTTCTTGCATCGACACCTCTAAAAAAATGGTATTTTCTTATCGACCACCTTATATTTTTCTCTGTAAATAGTATATACAACATAATCGTAATGCAAATAATTGCACATAACTATCTTAAAAGTGACGACTAGACTACAAATATGAACTAAAGTTTGACCAAAAAAGGTGTGTGAGATTAATATTTTATTATTTATATATTATTATTGATAATTTTAATTTTACAAATACAAACAAGTTTTCAGAAGCAAAATCATACATTTTAATTACACAAAAGTTTGATTTTAAATTAATATTATGGCTGCATTTGTTGTATTGATGAACATTTTTTAATATTTGGCATAAAACTGCTTAACTCAATTCTTTAAATCACTTGGTTCAAAATTATTCAACTTTTTTTTTTGTTTTCCATATTACATTACTAAAGCCTGCTTCTACTGTGCAAGAAAAGTCAGTAGTGTTAGTTCGTTAACAGCTTTAATTTGGGGATATTTCTCTCGAATGACTTTTAATTTCCAAAAATTAGCGTACCTATTTGTTTTGAATAAGACCAGATTTTTGTATGATATAGCTTTATATCAATAATCAATTATTGATTTTATTAATAAACTATTTTATAATCAATGGAATCTTGATTACGACAATCAATATCCGGTGCATATTCGGCTATGGATCCCTCGATCCCTTAATTATTATTGACCACCTTTAAAATTTCATCCACCCCTAGTCGGTCGATTCCGTTGGAATCGCTTTGTTAATACTACAAAACTAGAAAACCGAAGAATCATATTATATTTCTAATGGACTGGGTATTTCTCAGCTTATGAATATTTTCAAGCAAAAGTTGTCAACTCACTTTCTCTTTCATAGTTTTGTTTTTGGGTTTCCGAATGGCAGGAGAACAGATTTATGATGGTCACGTGACCACCTAGCATCCGGTATTCTCGGAAAGTCGCTTCATTTCTGCAATCAAAGAGGTGACAACTGACCTGGTCGGAGGATTTATGTCGGTCGCTCACGAGAATCATCCGTTCCGTCTAATAGTCGCAGTTCCCCCCCCCTTCCATTTCGTTTAAAGTTGCTGCAGATACACTCAGTGTAACTTAGTTTTAATTCGGTGATACATGTGTTAGTTTTACAATATGGATCAGCTTTCCATTGTAATACCATTTAAGAAATTATTAGTTTTACAAATTATCTAATTTAGGAATGCAGTGTCTGCTCATTTGGCGTTTAAAAGTAAGTTGCAAGTTATCTTCTTCATCTTCAGTCGAGTGATTTGCTGTACAGATTTAGTTTTCATTATGCCAACTTTTGACTGTCGTGTATAAGTAGAGGCCGAGCAAATCTTAAATTTTCTGGAATCTGAATCCTGAAAGGTTATAGAATAAGGAAAAAGAAGAAGGGAACTTATAAAGCATTAATTGAAATTATCTGAAACTTTCTTTTAATGAAAAACAAATTTAAGATTACAGTTTTTAAAAATTTATCTATATGTATTAATGCAAAGCAAATGAAATTTAGTAAAAAAAGAACATCATGAAAGCGCTTGAAGCTTAAGTTCAGTATTTATCTTCAAAATTTAAAAAAAAAAAAAAAAAAAAAAAAAAAAAAAAAATCGAGTGTATACGATTTTGATGCAGAAATGTGTAAAAATGTCTGTGTGACTCTGTGAGAACAGAAATGCTTAGAGCCAGATTGACCACTGCTAATACTTTCATTCAAGGTCTAATATTTTTTTATGGATTTTTGATGCTCTAATACGTTTACCATTTGACCTCGAAACTTATTCCTTTCCGAGAGATAACAATACAAATAACTTGAAAGTTTAAACTTATCAATGCATATTAATATTGAGAGTAATTAAAGGTCGTATTTAACTAACTTACTGAACTATGCACCTACTTCTGTGGAGTAATACAGCTAGGGTGACTGATTAATCGTTTAGGCTGAAAGTCATAAGGCAGGAGGAATGGATGCAAGAAAAGCACTTTTTAGAAGCTTAGAATATTTCACTGGCCTAAAGCCATTTAGGCCTCAGCCCGATTCATGGAATATTTGCTTTCTTAATCGCCTAAACAGGTGAAGGAACATTCCAACCGACTGGTCATCTACCAAACTGAATCCGCCCGAAGAGATCCTAACTAGGAACCCACTTCATGATGCTTAATTTCTGAGATCCGAGTCCCCTGTGTACAGATCTCAATCAATGCACATCCTCCCGGGGTATTCAGGAAATCAAATTAATTTTAACTGCAGTACAAAATCCTCCAAATCCAGAAAATACAAAATCCAGAAATTCTAAATTTAAATTTAGATTACTTATAGGAAAGTTTTTCTCCGTGCATGCTATTGTGTAATTACAACATTCAGCTAGCAATTAGAAGATCGGCGGTTCGAATCCTGCAGGGGATATAGTCGAATTTTCACTGTCACTGATTCGAAAACGTAATAGTCTCTGCATAACAAAGCAATCTTTACTTCCCATTGATGAAATTAGAAGTTTCGGGTCTTAATTTCCTTAATGAAACGAAAATGAGATGTAATATTTTATGAAATCTTAATGCAGTTGAGTCTGTCTTAACGGGCAGCAACGGTACACCGTCCATTGGTTATGAGAGCTTATTCTGAGTAAATGAATATATATTTTTACAATCTGCCTCTTCATGTTTTTGATGCCATCTGTAGAAATTACAACATGCGAAGTTTTTGGGTCGATTTTTTTTCAATTTATCGGCCGTTCTTAAATAAATAATATTGCAAATCGTACAGATATTTTAAAACACATAGCCATGATTTTATATTGAGAGTATTTTAAGATTCTGTATATATTATATGAAGGTTATTGCCAACTTCTTATTATGATAACATACAACTTGAATGCCTGCGTGCTTGCAAGATTGTCACCGGAGTTTTAAAAATTCTCTGTGTATGTAGTGAAGCTGGATAACATCATGTACTGACATAGCTGAACTTGCTTGGTAAATGTTATGAAAGTCTGCAATCTTTCGGTCATCTTCCTTTGACGTAACTTTCCTGTTCTGCGTGTCGTCTTTTATTTTCATCCTCCCGCTTCTCATAATCATCTTCCTCCTTTCCAAGTGCATATTAGATTATTTTGTTGTTATCTTGAGGAAGTGTAACGGTTACAGAACTGTGTACATCCACCCAAGCTTGCACATCCTCTTTATTAATGCTTACCTTTTCCAAACATTTAACTAAATCCAAGATATCAGACACGCGCGGCAGGCGTGTTTTAAAACATAAAGCACCGTCATCATCTACGTACATGATCACAGCTTACAGTTTACGTAGATAGCGACGTAATGTTATTAACATCTTTCCGGGAAATTTACAAGGAAATCTGGTGGGCATACGACCTGGCTTTAATTGCCAGTTTGCTAACCCATTATATGTAATTTTTTTTTTTTATGTCGTAGGGATACATTTCGAAATTAACTCTTCAAAACTGCCGCTATTTTGATATTACCGGTTAATTCTGTCCCGGTTACGAGAGATTTTACAGCAGCAACAGTAACACTAATTGAAAAGATAAATTCACCTGACAATGTTCAGTTGGTAAAAAAGGAATGTTTAAAAGGTAGGAGACGAACTGCCCGAAAATTTGATTGAAGATACCTTCCCCCTCCCCTCTTATCTAATCCACGAACTGTGCGACGTTTTCCTGTCCCTTCTTCCTGAAAACTTGAATTCGCAAGAAGATGGATGCTACAAAAAGTCATTTATTGCCAATAATGGGGCATTTTATTGAGACTACAAGCCTCTATTTCCGTTTATCAATATTGTAAAAATTTTGCATACAAAACAAATATTAATTTACAATCTGGCATGTGCTAAAGTAAAAATGAATTTCTTTTACACTCATTTTAAAGCTTTACGATGCTTAAAAGAATAATGAGCCAGATCATTTTTATTCTCTATAAGAATTAAAAATTTTCCAAGTTGTAGATTTTAGTTGCTGATATAACAAAATTGATATATCAATGTTGAATAATAAAATTGATAGATTAACGACATATATAAAACTGATACATAATCAATCTATCAAATATCAGATTTGTAGTTCAACTTAAATAAGTTTTCTTATCTAGATAAATATTAGCAAATCTTCTTATATAGCAGAATGGTTTAAACTTTCAAATTTACCATTTTACTTAAACTGTTCTAATTTAATTAGAAATATTCTGTTTATTAAATTTCTTTAAGTGGTTCTAAATTCACACTAATATCATTGCAATATATGCCGTATTAAGCTTTCCATTTTTAATCACTGAAGTTATTTTAAGGTTATTTAACTTTCTTACAAATTTCGTATTTTAATACTAGAAACGTTTAAATATTTATTCTGTTTTCCAGTTACTCTACCTGATGTACTTTCGCATACATTTAATTAATAGATGGATAATTATGAGCATCTGCAGAATTTTCATAATTAACAAAAAATATTCATATCTTGGGATTTTCAGTTCCCTTTCTATCCATTCCTTTTTCACATATTGTTGCATTGTATTCAAGTTTTCATGTATGTAGAAATTTGTATATTTTGTATTGTATTTATGCCAACTTTTATTTAAATGATAATTTTTACAAATTCTTGCATCATAACTCTAGTTAAGAGAAGAGGTTTCTAACACCTTGGTAAAGCTTAATCTTCAGCATGCAGCTTATTTTCCAACTTTGTTTTCAGGCTGAATTATTTGTAAAATTAATTGTTTGAAATTATTTGTTAACAAAGATGGTCGCTGAATCCCGCTAATAATATTTCTAACTGTTGTAATTTATAATGCAGCGAGTTCATGTGATTTATAATATAATTCATTTATAATTTTTTCAGCAGTATTGAAATTAATAGGAGATACTGATAATGATATACATTTAGATTACAATGATTTAGATTGCCCAATGCCTTCTTCATTGATGCTTTTATGCTACATTCCTAATATTTCATTATAGCATGTACATAAGTTTAACTCATTCACCAAATATGTAAATCTATAATTCAGCCCACTTTTGTTCTTGCATGTGCTCTATTTTCTATTTTCTTTAATATATTATTCAGCCTAATTTCAAAAAGTCTTACGATCAAGCGGAAAAGTCACTAAACATTGGTAGATCGACTCGAGTTTCTAATCCCGGAGATCCCTTGACTCTTTCTTTTTTTTGTACTTTTAATGTCACTGTTAATTAGCTTGTTATTAATTTAATTGTATGTTTCTGATTAATTATATGCTCAGATATTTCCAAGTATATTACACAAACTTTTGAATCCCAAATTTAATTTTTAATTAAAAAAAGAAGCTTTTATTTATTAAGAGGCCTGGTTGATTATGTTAATTTGCAGTACTGTTTATCTAATTCTTTTCTTCTAGATAAGTTTTAAGAAAAACTTCTTTTTTTTTTTTTTTTTTTTTTTTTTTTTTTTTTAAGTTTAACTATAAATTTCTGCAAACATTTAGGTGATTGCTTTAATTAACAAAAAATACTTCTAGTACACTTAACACACTTTGATACGGAATAATCTTTAGCATGCCAGTGAACTATATGAAATTTTCCAGTCTAGTTTAAGACATCATGACTATTATTGATGTAATTTATAAAAAATATAATTGGTATATAATAATATAATAAATTAAATATAATTATTTAATTTAGATATTATAACATCCTTTGCTCTAATATTGTAATTAAAGAAAGATGTTTGTGATACTAATATGTATGTTTACTAATACCTTTTATTTTCTTTGTTAGCTCTCGCATTTATTACTGTTATTCAAGTAATTAGCCTGGTTGTTAGATATTCTTTACTTGTTCTTGTGATTGTGATATGTAATTCTATTTCTTTATTTTCCCCTTGGCTACTTTTGGCTTCGAAATGTAAAATTGTAACCCTGTAGGCAACGGGTGGGAAGAAATTTAGATTCGCGCAGTTGGACTATATGAGGACCCCGGGAAATGAATTTTCATTCGCGCAGTTCAAATATACCCGTTTAAAAACTAAAGTATAGTATAATAATGAATATATAATTATAATAATATATATTTAAGTAGTACTTTATGTTATTTAAATATAATAGAACCTATTAAAATTAATGATGTTATTTAGGTAAAATAATTATATGCATACACATACGCACATTATAATAATGTGTATATTGTGTATATAATGATAATAATAACGTATGTTTTTTATTTATATGAAATATAATGCGTTTTCGTTT